TTTAAATCCATATTTTCCATCATGTCATATACAACAGATTTTGTTGTAAATTTTTTCCCACTAAGTTATTGGTGAGGAGGAAATGTCTGCTTTACTGACTGTCCCAGGAAGCAAAGGGCACTCCGTTTGGGGCTGGTGCTGCCCAGAGGCCAGGCAAATCAGGAAGAAGCCTGGTGGCTCTGCCCTTGGTCTCAGGCTTTGTATTACCTTGACCTTCATGGGTCATCCTGACTCTTCTGAAGGTGTGGCTGTTCCCTCACTGACTGTCCAGCCTGCTGCCTGATTCCACAACCCCACGATTGTAAACAGTGCTGCAATAAACACAGGCACGCCGGTCTCTCTTGTGTGCTGACTCCATTTCCTCTGGATATGTAGCTGGGAGTGGGCTATCAGAATAATACATAGATCTATTTTTTGAGGGGGGATCGAACTCAGGTCCTTGCACTTGTGAGGCAGGTGGCAGAACCACTGAGCTAAATCCCCAGCCCTCTATTTTTATTTTTTAAAGAACCTCTCCACTGCTTAGTTCCTGTACTGATTTACACCCCCATCAACAGTATACAAGAGTTCCTTTTCTCTACATCCTTGTCAGAAATTTGTTGGTTTGGCTTTTATAATAGTCATTCTAACTGAAGTGAGAGGCTATCTCAGGATAGTTTTAATTTGCATTTCCTTGATGGCTGATATTGAGAATTTTTTCTATTTATTTTCCATCTGTATTTCTTCCTTTGGAGAGTGCCTATTCAGATCATTTGCCCATTCTTTACTTGGATTACTTATTTTCTTATTGTTTTTGAGTTCTTTATTCCAGATATTGACTTTCCTTGAGAGGAATAGTTGGCAGATATTTTCTGCCTCTCTGTAGGTTTTCGTTCAACTCTATTGATTTCTTAGTTGGGCAGAAGCTTTTTAGTTTGCTATAATCCCACCTGTCATTTTAAAGTTCTGTTCCCTGTTTTTTCAGTCCTATCAAAAAGTCATTGCTTCTGCCAGTAGTTTTTAGTATTTTATTTCCCCTATGTTTTGCCCTCTATTAATTTCCGATCTTTGATGTAACTTCAGTTGATTTTTGCACAGCACGGGGGCCAGGTTTCAGCCCTTTGCATGTGGCAACCTGGTCGTCTTAGCCCCATCTGTCAGAGTCTGTACCATAGCTTTGTTGAGACTTGGTTGGCTGAAGGTGCATGTGTTCACTTCTGGATCATCTACCCTACCCCACTGGTTTCTACACCTGCCTTAAGGCCAAGACTGTGCTACTCTGGTTGCTATGGCCTTGTAATGGGTGTTCCAGTCCGGTGTTCTGATGCCTCTAGCCTTTTCTTTTTGCTTATAATTGCTTTGGCTATTTGGACTCTTTTCTGCTACCAGATAAATTTTGAGACCTACCCTCTCCAGTTCTGTGAAGAATGTCACTGATAAGTTTGTTAGGGGTGGGACTAAATCTTGCTTTGGGAGTTATGGACACTTTAACTGTATTGATTTTTCCAATCCATGGACCTGGGAAGTTTTTTCACCTTTTATTGTCTTTTTAGTCTCTTTCATCAGTTTTGTTTTGCTGTTTTTATTTTTATTTTTACTTTTCGTTACTTTTTAATGACTTTAAACTTTTATTTTACATTTATTTTTATTGTTCTACTCAGTTTTGTCTTTTATATCCTCTTGGTTTGATTTTGGAGGGTATTTAGCCAGTCTGAGCCCTCCCCCGTGTGCTGTGTCGGAGCAGGACACAGAGAGTGCGGGCTGTGCCTGAGCGGTTCCTCCTGTAGCGGGGTGGTGGCCCGTCAGGTGATGCAGGTTCCCTCAGGCGCTTGGTCATTGAGAAGGTCTGTGGACCTGCTGCTCCAGTACCGGATGAGGGGAGTGAAGGCCCTGTGCTCCGGCTGGACGCTGGTGTGGGCCCCAGTGCTCCTCAGGGTGAGTGGGCAGTCACCGCTTCCCTCCTCAGGCGCCCACACTAGCCTGTGAGCATACAGTGCGGTGACTGGCGGTGGGGACCTGAGTCGAGGCGGTGGCAGCAGAAGACCTGTACTCCTCTGCTGCTGCTGTAGCTGCCCTCCTAGAAGCAGATTCTGTCGCCAGCAGTGCTTGCCTGGAGACAGGGCAACGGCAGATGTCCGGCCCCACTGTCTGCCCGTCAAGGTGGGTGGGGAGTGCATCATGGCTGGAAATTCCTCTCATCTGAGGTGTGTGCAGGGCAGAGAGAACGGGAAGTGTCCCTCCAAACCTTCCCTCTGGACTTTCTCAGGCTGCCTGTCCCCAAGGAGGGGAGCCCTGGAACCAGAGCTCTTTCCCCACCGTGCCCACGTGCAGTGCTGGGACACAGCTGGTGAGCACCGCGAAGCAGCCGCCTTCAGTTCTGGCACCTGCGTGGAGCCACGTGTGACTGCCACGCCCTGGTCTCTCGAGGCACCCTCCGTTGCCCTGTGTCACAGCACCTACTCCCAGCGGTGCCTTGCTCTCAGTCCACTCACCTAGCAGCTCCTGGCTCCTGCGCTAGACAGTGGAAAGCCGGTGGGGTCCCAGAGGTGGGAACATGTGAGGGCGCTAGGTCCCTACTCAAGATGTCTCCAGGCCCTAGCACCTCAGAGGACAGCTTTTGGGGGGAAGAAACAAATTCTTTTTTTAAAGCCTCTTAGATATGTGGGTTGCCGGCCTGTAAGATTTGATGAACTTTCCAACACTAGGATTGCCAGGGTCTGTGCTAGTAGTTTGCTGAGAATCCTTCACCCTTTGGGGAGGGAGCCCCCCCGACCCGCCCGCGCAGGGATATTTTGTTTCTCTTGCTGTGGCTGTTCCAGGTCTGTGGATGCTACAAAATTTCCTGTTTTCCTCCTCGTGAATTCCACTGTTCTTGTGATGTTCACCAAAACATGCAGCTCTACACCTGCTTCTTCGGTGGTTTTGTGGAGAAGCAGGTGAGTGGGGGCTGCCTACACTGAGCCATCTTGTACCCCCATCCCCAGCATGAGGATTCATTCTTCCACTTAATCACTCATTATTGCCGGACTGGAGCATGAACCCACCTTCAGCCCCTTTTTATTTTTTAGAGACAGGGTCTCACTGAGTGGAGTATCAAGATCCTTAAGCCATCTTTACTTTTTTACTTTGCCACATACCTGTTGCAGCGTGTGGTGCATTACTGTCCAATTCCCCTTTAGGCCGTTCATTTCCTGAGGCCTGCACCTGTGCTGGGGCTGCACCTGCGTCCTCACATTCAATTCCGCAAGTATGTAACGAGGGACCAGACTTTATGCAGGGTCTTGCTGGATCACAAGAAGGTTGCTCCGCCCTCTGGATCTTAGCAATGCACAAAGGGGGCTGACTTGTATCAAGCTCCTACTCATCTGTCTCCAGCCTGAGGGGGAAGAGGGGGAGGTGTTACTGTGTACAAAGTGTCAAAGCAGAGACCAGGATGTGTGTGGGGCAGCTGGACAAAAGCCAGGAAAGGCTTCCAAGGGTTGGAGTCAGTGGGGAGGGTTCCAGGTGAGGACTCGGGAGACCCCATTCTGCACCTGTTGTGGACTTGCCAGACGAGCCCCGTGGCCTCCCATCCTCAGGTCTACTTTCCTGAAGGTCACAGGCAAAGGTGCACCCAGGATTAAAGAAGAGGCCTCATTACAACATGTGCTTTAATTATTTTCTCGTTGCTGAGGTAGAATACACAACACCCAAAGTTAAAGGAGGAAAGGTTTATTGTAGACCCCAGTTTGTAGAGGCTTCAATTAGTAGTTGGCTGGCTCTAAGGCAGAGTGGAATGGCAGAGGGCAGACAAGGAACAGTCCAAAGGCAAAGCAGGGCAGGCAGAAGACAGCCAGCAGTGAGCAGGGGCAGCAGCCTTCTTTCTGTCCCTTCTATTCTATCCAGGCCAGGGAGGGAGCACTCACATCCTAATCCTAGCAGGGCACCATTAATCCCAGCATCACACGTCCTACATCCAGCCCCCTCTGAAAAGCCTCATCTGTAAGAGTAGACAAGACACCGGCTGGATCAAGACCTGGATGTTGGCCTCATTCTGCTCCTCTTGGCTTTGTGATCTTGGACAAATCACAGCCCCTTCTGGCCTGAGTGTGGCCCTAGGGGAGTGGGGGTCATGATCCCTACCGTGGGCAGCTCCAGGGCTGCAGGCTTTGGGGCTGAGTGGGCTGTGCAGGAGAGAAATCAACAGGGCCCTGGCTAGGATGGAGAAGAGAACAAGGAGCCATGGACCAGCAGGTGGAGAGGACAGGGCTGGGCTGGCCAGAGGCAGAGCAGAACTTTGGGCGGGAGGATGACATCCGAGCAGCAGGCCCACGAGTAGTGGGCTGTGCAGGGAAGAAATCAACAGGGCCCTGGCTAGGATGGAGAAGAGAACAAGGAGCCGTGGACCAGCAGGTGGAGAGGACAGGGCTGGGCTGGCCAGAGGCAGAACAGAACTTTGGGCGGGAGGATGACATCCGAGCAGCAGGGTCCCACGAGAGTCTGGACAGAGCCCACAGTCTGAGGAAGCATTTCCCACCTTACAGACTGCTCCCCACTTTCTGCTACAGGCCGTTTTCCTGCAGGATGGTCACACTCGCCCATTTGGACCCTCAAAGGTTGTGTGTAGCTGGTCTGTGCCCAGTCAGCCCAGGCGTCACGTGCTTCTGTGAGGCACACGTGGAGCGCACTGTGACATCGACAGAACTAACACTACCATGGCCCTTTCTCTGTGAGGTCTCCCTTAGGACACAGTCCTGTTCATAGTCACAGGCCTGGGCACAGGGTGGGCACTGAGCAAATGTCTAGATTGTGAATCTTGTGATTCTGAAAGGACCCTGCCAAGTCCTTGGGAATCACAGGAGAGACACTTGTCTGGAACAGATTAGGGAAGTTTTCTTGATGGTTGTTGTGTTTGACCCTTCACAGATCTATGATCCCAGCTGGTATATTAGAACTACCATTTTACGACTAACTTCCCAAAATAAGAGTCAAACATGAGTAATTTTAAAAGTTTTATTAAATCATTTAGACTTGAAAGAAGTCACAATAGTTAACACACTTAAGTGCGTTCTGTACACCACCAACCCAAATGGATTGATTCCAGAATTTTTATAAATAAAAAATAAAAATATTTACAGGGGAAAATAAAAACATGTCAGCATGTGAAATGATTAAACTGTTACCTATAATCAGTTTGGAGATGTACCCACCTGCAGGATTACACAGAAGACACTGATGATTTTATGAGGTTAAAAAGTCCCTAAAGAAATTAGCTGTAAAACAATATCCATTTTTAACTACAGCTTTTTCCTTCCCAACAAGAATTTAAACCCAATTACATACAAAGCTTCATTTCCCCTTTGTTGGCTTTACTGGAGGTAAAGTACAAAAACTTCTTAAATGCTCCCTAGAACCATCTAAGGAATAAAACTATTTAATGCTACAAATAGGACTATAAAACTATAAACCTAAACAGTCACAGAGTTTGTGCTATTTGTCCTCCACAATAGTGCAGATTCTTCATTACCCACCAGGGACAAAAAAGAAGTCAGCTTCTTTAGAAATCAGTTCCAATGTCATTATCTTTCTAGAAAGTGTATTTCTAGAACAATAGTTTTCACAATGGGAGGAAGGTTTATTCATCTGTATTATAAAAATATTGCCACTTTAAAGCTATTTTAGGGATTGCTTCTACCTCTGAGGCGAAAGGTGAGGGTATAAGGCTGCGCAAGCCAATTTCAGAAGACCAACAGAGATCAGGGACCATGGGTCACTCAGGCAGCCCTGTCCCATGAGAAGAGCAAAAGCGAGAGTTGGCTCAGAACAGGTGAGGCCCTAAGCCCGGTTTAAAACACAGCCCAAAGTAAGAGTGAGCAAAGAACAAAATGTTCACATCCACCACTCTGGAGAGGAGGCGGCCACTGTCCTGCAGCTGCAGGCCGCAGGCTAACTGCTCGGTGCAGGGCTGCCAGAGGCGCTGGACAGTCTCGAGTGCTTTGTGCCTGATGTGCTCAGGGAGCGAGACCGCTGTCTGAGCACTGCTTTCCCTGGCAACTCCAAGTCCTCAAACAGAGCGTTTTCAATGATGTTCGTGGCTTCAGGCCGTTCCACAGGTGAGGGAGAGAGCATGTCTTGAACCATCACATACTGAAATATAAAAATTTTGTGAGAGCATCAGCTTCAGATCACTAGTCCTTTAAAGCAAGACTTGAAAAAAATTTTCTGTAAATATTTTAAGTTCGTAAAAAAATTTTTTTTAAGTTTGTAAGTCACAGTTTCTGATAAAAGAAGTCAGCTTTGCCATTGAAGCTTAAAAGCATCCACGGTAGGGAAATTAAAGGGCATGGCCGTGCTCCAATAAAATTTTATCATAAAAATAATCCAGCAGACTGGATCCAAGGTGTTGGCCCTAATCTGCCAACCCCTGCTTCAAATACAGACCATTTGGGGGCCTTTTCTAAAATGTAATAAAAGATTTTAAACATGTCCTTGAAGCACTTACAGCTTGATTTTTTAAAAAATAAATTCATCTTGCAAGGACCTGACTTTGCTCCCCGGTACAAAAATAAAATAAATAAATAAAAAATAAATTAATCGTATAACTGTGTGTGAATCTGCAGTTATCTAAAAAATTTCTACTGAAAAATAACCATACCAGAGATCAGCATCTGATATTCTTTTGGTCTTTTAAAAAAACCTAAAAATGTATCTTATGGGGCTGGGGATTTAGCTCAGTGGTTCTGCCACCTGCCTTGCAAGCTAAAGGTCCTGAGTTCAATCCCCGGTACCAAAAAAAAAAAAAAAAAAAAAATGAACTTTATTATAGATACTTATATATAGTAACTTGAAATTAAATGTCTTAATAAAAATTGTTATCCTATATTTTGTAAACTTGAGTCTTTCCCAAGATAGTTCATAAAAAAAATTTTTTTTTTTTTTTTTTTTTTTTTGTGGTACTAGGGATCGAACTCCGGACCTTACACACTCATGAGGCAGGCGGAGGAACCTCTGAGCTAAATCCCTGGCCCAAAGTTCATTTTTTAATGCAGATCTTTTGCTCATCCCCCTCTTCCCCAATATCAGGGATCAAACTCAGGACCTTGCACTTGACAGATAAGCACAGTGCCACTAAGCGACATCACCAGCCCTTCAAGTCTTATCATACTGACAGATTTTGACTTTTTCCAATTTGATTATTAATATACACTACACCCAATTTACTTCAACTTACTTAAGAAAATTCAAGATCAATGGATAAATTTTTTTAATGATTTTTTTTTTGTTATGGGGGACTGAACTCAGGACCTTGCACTTGCAAGGCAGGTGGCAAAACCACTGAGCTATATCCCCAGCCATCAATGTTAAATTTTAAAATGATATGCTTTTGTGAGTGATATGCTTTTATTTATTTATTTATTTTCCTCATTGAGTTTATTGGTACATTTTAGGTATACAGTACAGTTACATTCATCATTGGGATCTTGTATCTTTACATGACAGGTCTTGGTTCTCATTTTTTCTCCTTGTCCCTGCCCTCCCTTTACCCCTCCCCTCCCCTCCTCCCCTCTTCCTTTACAAACACTTCATTTCCATTTTTTCATTTTCTCATATTTTTTCTTTTCCCTTATTAGCTTTCCCCTACTCTTCCCACTTTCCCTACACCTTTAGCTCCTTTCTTCCTATTTCACATTGTCCATTATATCATTAGGATTTTATGTACTATTATAGTTTATTCACACCAGAGAAACTATTCGGTATTTATACATGTGACCTATTTATTTCACTTAGGAGTATATCCTCAAGGGCCAGGGATTTAGCTCAGCAGTTCGGTGGCCTGCCTCGCAAGCGCAAGGTCCCGAGTTCGGTCCCCAGTACCAAAAAAAAAAAAAAAAAAAAGGAACATAAGGAGTATATCCTCAATATGTATCCATTTTCCTATGAATCAATCTAATTTCTCATTCTTTATGGCTGAGTAATATTCCACTTTATAGAAAAACCACATCTTCTTTATCCAGTTTCCAACTGATGGGCAAATGGGCTCTTTCCATGTTTTAGCTATTACAAACTGTGCTACTATAAATATAGGTGTGCATGTATCACTGTGATATGATTCTTTTAATTCTTTTGGAAAGATACCCAGCAGAGGGATGGCTGGGTCAAATGGAACCTCTAGTCCCAGCTCTTTGAGGTGTCTCCATATTGATTTCCATAGTGGTTTCACCAATCTGCACTCCCACCAGCAATGAAGAAGGGTTCCTTTCTCCCCACAACACCGCCAACATTTGTTATTGTTTGATTTCTTGATAGCAGCCATTCTTTGTGGGGATATGTTTTTATTTAAAATGATATGCTTTTATAATATTGTGAAATGAAAAAAAAAGGTATAAAGATAACTTTAGAAGTTCACTGCACATCAGTTTTACCACCAAGACCAGCTTATTCTATCACTACTCAATCTTCTGACCCATATGCTGTGTGGTGCAAATCAATCCCCATAAGCAACAGAAAATAGTGCCTCTTTTACAAAAAGGATAAATTAGTTTTTAAGCTTTCCTGCATACCACTATAACGGAGAGATGATTGGCATGACCATAAAGGTGTGCTAAGAGTCCAGCTCTGTTTAAGCAAAGTGTCACGCAGCTGGTGGACAGATGGTCTGCAGAACACCCTTGGTAGGAACCAGACTGAAAGGCAGCCAAGCTCCTGTCCTCAGTTTTACTTTAAAAACCTGCCTGTAGGAGCAGATTCCTCTCCCGTTTAGACCTTTGGCTTCTTCACCTGTATAATGAAGAATATGACCAGCTGACTGCTAAGCACCTAAGGACTTCTTTAGAGAAAATCAGGGATGAGAATTATACATACCTCACGGGGATATTTCTGAATGAACAGTGGTGGAAATTTGAGATTTCTTACGTCAGTCAAGGTCTAAAAGGAAAGACAAGCATTGCTTTAAATTGATTTTGACATATGGATCTATTCATACAAGCAGTGTGCGCGCGTGCGTGAGGTGCTGGGGATGGATGTACTCTGTCAAAGAGCTACAACCCCATCCCCATCTTTCAGGCTCTTCACAGTGTTCTTTGAGGCATTGAGAATTCTGACTGGTCACATCTGATTCCTAATTCTTTGCTGACGTTGGGCCTGTTTTATTTTTCTTTCTGAAGGTTTTTAGAGCCTTTTTTCCTGCTGTTTATATAAAATTTAGTTATTTTTTGTTTTATTTTCTTTCTCTCCATTTACCACATAGAACGTCTAGTAGGTCCTTCCAGTGAGAGATAGGATTTTCTGGGTTCTACATGAGAACTACATTCTCTTCTGCCAACACTATAAGTCATCAGAACAGATCTAAAGCCATTCGATTAAGAAATAAATGCCTTTAAGAGGATAAACTCTGGAAATGTGAAGGTGGGGACCAGGACCAACAACTAGCAGAGCTGAGGGTAACCACTCAGGAACAATGTGACAGGTGTTTACTCTGAAGAGACCTTGAGCACTGTCTGTCCTAAGAGCTAAGAAATAAAGAGCCAAGGAGGGAAAATCCTCATTATGTTAATGTGCCAGCTTTTAAGTACCTGAGTATTTAGTTACTTGTTCTCTGGAAAAATCTTTTCTGGCCAACTACCACGCCCCTTCCCTCACTCCTATTATCCCATGGTTCTTCTTGCTTTGCACTTAGCACAAATGTTCTCTGTGAAAGACATTGCTAAATTATGATGAATTCAAGCCAAGACAAGGAATAAACAATTCAATAAAACAAGTTTTTTGAGGACTGGAAGGAAACTATCTAAAAATCCTTCTTGGGTTGGACCTGTCTGGCTTTTGGTTAACTAATCTGCAGGCATTAGAATAACTGAATCTGCTCTTTTTCCTGATTGCCATGGTCCTCTGCCAGGCTACCCTGCCTTGGAGCTAGCTGACTATGGACTGAAACCTCCACAAACTGTGAGCCAAATAAACATTTTATTTATTTGTTTGCTTATTTATTTATTTTTTGGTACCAAGGATTGAACTCGGGTACTTGAAACCTTTCTTTTAGAAAGAAAGAAAAAAAAAAAAAAAAAAAGAATAACTGAATTTGGATGATTTTTGATGTTTTCTGAGGAAGGTTCCTTACCCGGACTCTTTCCATCTGAGTACTGAATGGGTACAGCAGTTCAAACAGAATCAGGCCTAAGGAAAAGATGTCCACTTTATGAGAGTAGTTGTTTCCTTGGATCTGAAATCAATATAAAAATATTTTTAAAAAATGAACAGACAGTACAATTGATATTACAGCATTACCAAAGCCTAAAGTTCACAGAGCCACTTCTTGGTTTAAAATAAGTGTATGTGTGAAAATGTGAGCAAAGAGTTAATCTCCCAAGCCTCCTGCCTGCACTCAGGACACCAGGTAATCACACCACTCAGCATTACAGAGGGCAGAAGCCCAGGTACCTCTGAGATATGCATCAGCAGAGCAGGTGGCAGAAACCTGGAGCCTGTCTGTGAGGCTATAACCAAGTGGGGAGCCAAGCAAAAGCTCTCATTCCCCCAGGTGAGGATTTTCAAAGCCAGCACTATCTCCCACCAATCTCTCACTTCTAATCATCTTAGCCCTTGCCCATTTTTATGAGAAAATCTTCATTACTCCAAGCCACTAATCAACCCTGATTAGCCTTCATTAAGGCACTTAATTGCAGACTACTTTGCATCCTCTGTTGTATTTGTCATGTGCATATTTTTTATTCTTTACAACTAGATTATAAAGTCCTCCAGGGAAGGAAACAGCTTCTTTTGTCTTCCCATCATCCAGCACAGGGCAAAGTGTAGAGAAGCTCTCAATAAACGCTTGTTAAAATGAACAAATGAATCCCAACCGAACCACTCTGTTAAGGAAAGCCTCATTCAGATTGTAAGTGACCTCCTGGTGACTTAGAAGAGCCCTTTCATTGGTGAGAAGGTCTCCAGCCACAGCCCAGGAGAGGAGGGGGTCACCTGGGAAATGTTCCTCTCGCCTCCCCTTATTCCACAATCTGATGTCCTGGTGTCATCTCTGCACTTCCTCCGAGCCAGCTGGCTCCAAGGTCAGCGTGCAGAAGTCCCAGGGATTACCTCTGTTGTCGCCCTCCTCCCTTCTAAGTGACTAGAGCAACCTGGACCCTCCCTTACCTCTTAACTTTGGGGATTGGGAACTATTACAAGAAATACAAGATTTGCTTGAAAAATAGGGTAAATGTTTACACTAAATAAGCTTTATCATAGAAGACACATGGCTGTTAATTCCCCTCAAAATATTCTCCCTACCTTCAAACCAACTTATTCCACAGTTCTTGGCACTTTCGGCAGCAGTGCTAGAAGTCCTCTTTTGTGAGAGTATTTACTTGTACTGGTGAGGTTGCCTAATGTCAAGAACCGATTCAAAATATGTATTTTTCATGGCTATTTTGACTTTGAAGAGCCAAAATTGCATAGTGACAGATCAGTAAATAAGGTGGATGAGGACACACTGATGTTCTCACGAGCCTGCCTTTCCACTGGATGGCACTTGGCGGGAGCATTTGCTATATTTTTTATCACACCTAGTAAAGCCACTCACAAAAGAGGACTTCCAGAAATGTCCCATTGTCCTTACCACCTTCTGGAGCAAGTGTGTTTGAAGGGGGATTAATGGCAATGTGTCTTTTATTATAATAAATCTAAACATATACTGTATTTTTGATCAGCCCTTTTATGTTGGTGCTTATAGAGTATAATGCATGGTAAGGGACATCTTCCTACACTCTTTGAATAATGTAAGTAAATTCAGGAAAAGTAACTGGATAAATGTTTATTTCCACTTAATGATCCTATCTAATTCTCCCACTCTAGAATGGATGGAAATGTGAGGGATTTGGTTACAAGGATACTTATCCAAGTGACACTCCTAATACAAAATTTACAAGTAACTAAAATGTTCAAAACAAATGCTGAGTAAATTGCTGAGCTGACTGAATACAGTGCAACCAAAAATATTTTCTAATAATGTTTAATGACATAGGAAATGCTCACATTTTAATATTGTATCCAAAATGTTACAGAAAAGATTCCCAGGCTGGGCATGGTGGCACAAGCCTGTAATTCCAGCACTCAGGAGGCTGAGGGAGGAGATTGCCACAAGTTCGAGGTCAGCCTGGGCTACATAATGAGTTTAAGGTTAGCCTGAACTACACAGAGGGAACATCTCAAAAAAAAAAAAAAAAAAAGAAAGAATCCTAATTTTCTAAAATAAGACGTGTATATACAGAACAAAGTTGCTAGCCACTGTTAATGGTTTAGGGATTTTTAGTAAGTAGATTTTTGCTTTTTTTTTATTATGTTCCTTATATTGTTCACATTCCCTACATGACAAATTAATATATAATAAGAAAAAAGTGTTATATTTTAAATATTAAATGTTTTTAAAAGAAATATAATTTAATGAACACATGAAAAATTATCTTTACAAAACACCTAAAAATATCAGGAGTTAAGCATAAAATCTCAAGGAAGGAAGAATATAATATATCCCTTAAGAGTTTAAATTGATTGTTTTATCACTGCACACACTAGAATGGGGTTTATATTTTTTGGTAATTACAACCAAGAATGAAAAACTTTCCCCAAAACTTAAAATTTAAAAGTATGATTTCCAGCCACTTAAATAATGATTTTTTAAAAATGCTATTAGAAGGGCCAGGGATTTAGCTCAATGGTTTGGTGGCCTGCCTTGCAAGTGCAAGGACCCGAGTTCAATTCCCGGAACCAAAAAAAAAAGCTATTAGAAACCTCTTTGGCATTAATTCTGATATATGATAATGAAGAAAACTAGGAAGTACAGAGAAGCCCCAAACAGATTAAAAATGATTCCAATCCCCCTAACTCAGAGGCAGTGGCTGTTCTGGGTTAGGGCTCTCCTAGTCTCTTCCTCTCTGAATAGAAATATACATCTATAGCATTCTGCTGTTTCTCCTAACTTCAATTCTTCCTTTTACCCAGCCCTGGCTACACCATTTAAACAGAAGAGTTTCATCAGTGGGGCCAACAAACTGCTTTTTCTACTTCAGCTAGTTTGGATCCTCTGGTCACAAATAATAAAGTACATATCTCTGCCGTATCCTTTCTAATTTACTGGTGGTTTTCTTCCCCTTAAGTAGGTTTGCTAGAGAGGAATGATTATCTTGATTTCCAACCATGATGACATCCCTGGGATGTGTCCTAAACTTGCTTTCTCTCCTGTGGCTCCTTCTTCTCCCATGTCCTCCTGAGCACAACAGCAAACCCCTTCTGCAGAAATGTGCTTTGGAATGAAGGTCCTGAAAACAAACTTATCTCCAAGTAGAACCTTGATAATATCTATGGATTTTAATAGCTGTTGTTTCTTTTGTTATTTTCTTAGTGCTTTATATGAGTACTTTTACTTCACTATTGACCTGATAGGTTACTGGGGGGGGGGGTGTTAAGCTTCCAGCTAGCAAAAACAAGAATCAAAGCAAACCTCTATAACCTCTTTTATTGCATTATTACAGAAAGATCCCCCACTCCCACCTTGGATTGAACCCAAGGCATTGCTCATACTAGACAAGTGCTCTGACCACTAAGCTATATCCCCAGCCGATTTTATTTTATTTTTTGAGACAAGGTCTCACTAACTTGCCTACACTGGCCTCTAACTTGCAATCTTCCTGCCTCAACCTCAGGTGCCTCAACCTCTTGTGTAGTTGGGATTACAAGTGTGCTCCACTATACATGGCTGACAATTAAAATTTCTGTTTTCAGATACACTACACTAATGTTTCTTTGTGGCCTGTAAGTATGAAATGAAAATATATCCAATTTTAATTTATCAAATAAATGATGGCCAACCATATTTATAAAGCCTAACTTGTCTTTCACCTAGCTTCCTTTTTAAGTCTTTTCCTTTAGAAAAAAAAAAAAAAAACCAACTGTACCCAAATCTAATTCTCCCTTCCACTGGGAAATTCAAACATACTCACTTACATGTTGTCATAACTGGTATTTGACCTTAGCATCACTTTATGTTTTGTTTTTGTATTTTTGCACTTTCCCCTTTTGTTGTTCTTTTGTTTGTCCTGAGGTGACACAGAAGGTAGAAACAAGGTTTAAACTCTATTTGCGGAATTTTGAAAAAGAAGTCCCTATTCTCATCTTTACTTCCCTTGTTCTTACCACCTTCCATTTCCTAATCTTTGTTAATTTAATGTTTGTTACAAACTCAACTTTTTGTTTTGGTACCAGGGATCGAACTCAAGACCTTGTACTCACAAGGCAGTGGCGGTGTCACCGAGCTAAATCCCTGGCTCTCGTGATAACTATTTTTAAAACTTTACAAACCTTTTTTTTTTTGCCCCCTGATACTGACAACTGAATTCAGGACCTTATGCTTGCCAGGCAGGAATAGCACCACTGGGCTAAATTCCTAGCAGCTGTAAACCTTTTACTAAGAATATCTTTTTGATTTTATATTTAATTTCAGCATCACAAGAGCTATTAGCATGTATTTTGGATTGGTTTTGCTGGCTTCTCTGACATTTGCTTTTGTTTGTTTTGTATTTTTGGAGTCAGGTCTCCCTTTGTAGTTCAAGCTGGCTCTGAACTCACTATGTAGCTCACGCTGGCCTCAAACTCAGAGCAATCCTCCTGCTTCAGCCTCCCAAGTGCTGGGATTACAGTTGTGTGCCACCAAGCCCGGCCACATTCGATTTTAATAGGTAATACATTCACATGGCTCCAAACGAAGACGAGGAAAGCTGCTCTCCTACTCCGGCCCTGACTGGCCAGGCCCGCTAGCCACGTCCCCTCTATCACTGTCCTCACAAACATTTGTTTCTTGTGCATCCTTACAGCACTATTATAAACATCAGTAAACAGAAATATACTTTTCCCTTCTTTACACAAAAGCTAGATTTGTGAACCGTGACAGGGTCTTACTATGTAGTTCAGTCTGGCCTTGAACTTACAATGTAAGCTAAGCTAGCACTGGACTTGTGGCGCTCCTCCTGATTCAGCCTAAGTGCTATGATTACAGCATGCACCACCATGCATGGCCACTTGAGATTTTTAAAAAACTCTTACCTATTTACTTATTTTCTTTCTTCCCTTCTTCCTTCCTTCTTCCCCCTCCCCACTCTCCCTCCTTCCTTTCCTTGTTTCTTTCTTGCCTGATTTGGCCATATACAAGACTCTGGATCACAACTACTTTTCTTCAAAACTATATGTTGCTTTATTGACCCACAGGGTTGTGTACTATAGAAAACAAGCACTATAGGTATAATCTGTTTTTCCTCTATCTAAATACTTATTTCAAATTTAAGATGTCTAAATTTAGGGTTCTTTAAAACTTTTAAAAATTAAAAATATTTAAAACATGAGGAAGAAATATTTGAATAATGTAAATAATTCAAGTACTTCAGAAGGACACTGTAGATCAATAAAGTCCTGCTCCTCCAAAGCAGCCCCTATGGTTGGTCTCTGATACAACTGTCAAAGTATGGTCTTCAATCCCTAGGAAGCCTAGCACCCCTTCAGGAGACGTACAAGATTAAGACTATTTTCATAATAAACTAAAGCATGAGTTGCCTTTTCACTGTGTTCTGATGGAATCTGAGCATGAAGCACCCGCTTTACTAGTAATAATTATACTGTTCAATCCCACAGGTTAAAAACACCCCAAGAAACCACAGTTCATTTAAAATGTCCTTACCAAGCAGTAAAAATTATTAATTTTGTTTTTTGAGACAGGGTCTCACTATGTAACTCCTAGTTCCCCTGCCTCAACCTCCCAAGTGCCAGGGCATGCATACTATGCCTGGCCCCAAAATAACTAAATCTTAACCCTTCACTAAACATCTTTTTGTTAATCTGTATGGCAAGATAGAAACTATTCCTAAAGCATTGCTGCTCCCCCCGCAATCACAGCAGTTGTGTGAAAGGGAAGCACTTGCACGTTAGAGGATACAGCAGCACATGCCAGCTGCTCTGTTCGCAGGATGCCACTCTGAGTGACAGAATGACTGATGGACAAACTGCACTGATTCAGAGGTGGATGCTTAACATTTAAAAAAGATGACAACGTGCAGACAGCTCTTCAAGGAAAACTGACAATATTTGTTGCTAATGATAAAAGCTGAGCTTTTGAGTGAAAATTATGATTTTGAAAACTCTGCATCCAACCACTGGGCATTCCAGATTCCCAACACTTGAAAGGCCTGTGGCAAGACTCATAGTGCTACTAACAACGTGATTTTCTGATCTGTAGAATGATATATGACAACTTTTGGAAAAGTGCAGAAATTAGGGAACCAAGAGTTTCTAAGTGACCACGCAAAATGTTACACAATCATTCACAGGTGAAAAATCTGTGCAAAAACCAAAAGGACCAAGGGAAGTAACAGGGGGCAAAATGAGCTTTTAGATCCCACAGTGTTTTAAGAATTCTGATGTACCATCAAGGAAGAGTATCCATGATTACTTGAAATGAAATATTGCTCCCATTTCCAACTAGCTATCTAAATGGGACCACATTTTCTCCATGTATTTCAGCAAATATAACTGCAATGGATTTAATACAAAAGCAGATATGATACCTAGCTTTTATAAGTCAGACATTAAAAATATTTACAAAAAATATAAATGGCCCTCTTCTATTTTTTTTTTTTTTTTGGTTTTGGAAAATTCTTTTCACAATGAATTAGTAAATTTTATGAATTTGTCAGTTTTAATTTCTAACAGAGAAAATACCGATAGATAATATTTGAGAAAAATTTGTAGGTTCAGCAAGTGTAAAGGGACACTGAGACCAAAGGTACAGAACCTGTTGATCTGAACACAGATAGGCTTCTGGTGAGGTTGGCTACTCTGGAGCTCCCAGTATGCCCTGCTGCCTGCTTCTAGTCCTCCTGCAGCAGACAGCACTTGTCCTTTGAAGACAAAGCATCCCCAAAGCAGTATTTCCCAGCCTCTGCATCTCTATTTCCTGCCATGGGACTTGCTAGAAGCTGTCTATGAATGACCATAGAGGGCCACTCAGGACCATGTCTCTGTTGTTAGCTGGCTCTGAAACCAATTTGTACATAGCCTGCCCAAGGGAAACTGGACAAAATCTGGGAAGGTGACATCAGAGTCTTTTTCTAAATTTCCTGCCGCTGTCATATTCCACTTCAGGTGGTGAGCACATTTCCTGTGCTCTATTCTTTGTCCATTTTTTTTGGGGGGGGTACCGGGGATTGAACTCAGGTCCTTGCGCTTGCAAGGCAGGCCACCGAACCGCTGAGCTAAATCCCTGGCCCCTTCTTTGTCCATTCTTGATTCAGGTGGAGTTGTGTTGCCTGTGGCACATTACTGCCAATTTTTATATCGCTCTGACTTTTTTGTTTGTTTTGGTACCAGAGATGGAACTCGGGACCTTGTGCTTGTGAGGTAGGTGGCAGAACCACTGAGCTAAATCCCCGGCCCCATATCTCTCTGACTTTATCCTGAGTATTTTAATGCGAACAAGGCAGGAGCGTCAGCAGGCACAGCTAGCTTACTGCACAGGTAAAGTCTGAAATACTCGCCTGTTCTGGGCTCATGTACAATTTGGTCCCGACTTGTCCTGTGTGTGTGGCTGGCATGGGGGTCAGAACAGTCTGCTCCTCCTCATCCTGGTCCATGGCAGTCACTAGCCCAAAGTCTCCAACCTTGACCACATCATCCATTGCGAAGAATATGTTGGAAGGCTGGAGAAGATAAAAGAGATGAAAGTACAGTAAGCATGTAGAGAGGAGAGAAAGTGAAAAGAATTACTTAAATGATTATAGAAAAGAAACATGAAAACCAGATATTCTCAAGTACATTTCTCTTTAAAATTGGCTAATGTGAATATAGAAAGTTTCTCTGTGATAGACACATACTGTGGAAAGGGACGGATGGCAGAGAGAAGTGATCTTATCAAACATCTACTTAATAAAAGCTTTAGAAATCCACATTCCCTAATAAACAGCATACAAAATCCTCAATCTTATTATTCTACATACTTTCTCTGGGTAACCTCTTTATAACTTATAGTAATTATAATAGAAATGCAAAATGCATACATAGCACTTGTAATGTCAGGTGCTATTCTGAGCAGTCTATTGGTAACTCATGTACTACAAACCCATGAGAATGGTACCATTTGCCTTCCATTTTACAGATATGAAAACTGAGGCCCAGAAGTTAGACAAATTTCCCAAGGTTTCCCAGATAATAAGTGGCAGAGCAGCCTGGCTCTGTGAGAAAAGGATCTTTTTTTTTTTTTTCAGCTTCAAGGTGATTTTTATTTCTCTTTCATAGAGATTAAAGCTCACTGTGGTACTTTCTCTTAACATTTTATTATAGCCATTTTCAAGTACACAGCAAGGTTTAAGAAATTTTGCAGCAAACATCTACATATTTATTATCTAGCCATTAACACTGTATTATAATATTAGCTTTATCATGTACCTATATGTCTACCCATCTACTCATCAGTAATGGCCTTGTAATTATTTTTAAAAAGACATTAAAATTTTTTAAATTAAAAAATATCCTATGTTTGGAAATCCACGTGAAAATAAATTTTACTGGGTATTTTCCTTCAACATCAAAAATACCAGAAGTATAATCTGTTATAGTCTTAAAAACTATTCTTGACAAAATATCCTGGTAAAGGGACCTTTCATTATCTTTTAAAAACATGAATCACCCAGAACTAGGGTGAGTATTTTTTTTGAGACAGGGTCTCACTATGTAGTTGAAACTGATCTGGAACTCACTACATAGCCCAGGCTGGTCTCGAACTCCCAGTGATCCTCCTGCCTCAGCCTCCCGAGTGCTGGGATTACAGGCGTGCACCACCATGCCCAGCTGGAGAAAAGGATCTTTTGTTTCACTGCCACATCCAATAATTAGTAAAATTCTTGCTTTATGGCAGCTAATTGCTATTTGATAATGAGTGAAAAAAATGATGATCTTTTGGGTCTCAAAAGACTATCAAGAGGAATAAGAACACTCAGCTAGTAGCATCTATGCTACCTCTTCTAAAACTCATATGTATGAGATCCTATCTATACTCTGACTTCTATCTTGAGTTCAAAACTCTTTTTTTTTTTTTTTTTTTGTACCGGGGATCGAACTTGGGTCCTTGTGCTTGTGAGGCAGGTACCGGAACACTGAGCTAAATCCCTGGCCTTGAGTTCAAAACTCTTGTATGAAACTGTTTATAGGGCATCTCTAACCCAATGCTGCATGGACTTATCAAATTCAAAATCCCCTGCATGACATCCTTCTCCCAGAGATTACTCTACCTTGCAGGTAACATAACATAGTCCACAAATTAAGGAAAAAGGAAGCCAGTTAGCCCATAAAATTGAATTTCATGCTTCAAATACTGCCAGGAAAAAAACAAAAAAAAACCAAAAAAACATTGTGTTCTTAACATCCAAAATGCTAGTGAACAAACTAAACTTTGAAACAATTCAATTACTTTGTATAATTAATATCTATGGTAATAACCTGAAGATCTCCCACAAATAATCCTGGACCAGAGACTTCAGACAATGCTGCTTTATTCTTTCCACCCCAATTCTGTCTTTTGATGGCATTTAATTCCTGAGCCCTGAAACAGACAGCCTTTTGGTTCTCCAGGTATAACTCCCTCTGTTTCCATTACAAGTATCCTCACTTTGCTTCAAGAACTCTCTTCCTGAGTGTGCAGCCCCATAGTTGCCCAAACCAAGCCCCATAATCCCATTCCCTGAAGGGGAGACCAGTTCTGGGATGCATCTGTCTGAGTAGACTGAGACTCAGGACTTCTGACCAATGGGGAGAAACAGCTACTTTTTCCCCCAGACCCTATCCAAAAGCACTGCTGTGACTTGAATTTAAAAAGTCTCCCAAAACATTGTCTTCAAAAAATCATGAGGGCTTCTATCTTCATCGGTGGAATAATCTTTTGATGAACCCTTATTTTTTTTTTTTTTTCTGGTAGTGGGAATCAAACACAGGACCTTGTGCTTGTGAGGCAGGCGGCGGCACCACTGAGCTAAATCCCTGGCCCAATGCAACCAAACTTTGATGGCATTATTGAGAGGTGCTGGACACTCAGAACTGAAGCCTCTGAAACCGTGAGCCAAAATAAACCTTTTCTCCTCGAAGTAAGATAGAAAGCAAACACATCTTCCAGAAGGCAAACCAGCAACCATAAGAATTCCTGAAACTATGCTGTGACTATGAAAAGAGAACCTGGCTGAAAATTAAGAAATGAGAGAGACTAGGTTCTGGCCAAATCATTCAATCATAACAAAAGTTTTACAACTGTCATCCTCAAAAGTTTAGTTACATAGGCTAAAATAAAGCTCCTTTCTGGCTAAATCATATGGTTTGGGTTCAAATAAAAGAAAATTCAAAATAAAATGATGCAATCATACTTTGGTGCCTGATGCAAAAGTTTGTGGTTACATAAATAAAACTGAAAACATTTAAAATGAACCCAAATATGTCAAGATTTAAGTTACTTTTGGGCTGGGGATTTAACCCAGTGGTGCCACTGCCTGCCTTACAAGTACAAGGTCCTAAATTTCATTCCTGGTACCAAAAAAGATTTAAGCTACTTTCATCAGAGAAAAACTTTACATTTTCAATACACATGTACAGCAACCACTACTAGCATGTGAATGGCAGTAATTAGTTATATAGGGCTGGGGATTTAGCTCAGTGGTTCCACAGCCTGCCTCACAAATAAAAGATCCTGAGTTGGATCACAGGTACCCAAAAAAAAAAAAGTTAAAATAAAAGTCCTGTATACATATTTTCATAAACATACTGAGGACACCCTACAAGTTTTGTAAGAATTTTATATAATTTTATATAGTTTAGCATTCTGTACCACTACACTTTTTAATACTTATACAATAAAAACAGAATTGAACGTTTTAGAGCTATAATTACCTGGTGGTTCCATTTGCTACCTTTCTCTATCCAGCATCCCTTCCAAAGCCCAAGAAGTTCAGAAATTGGGGTAGAAGCATGGCTATTTGCTGCCCTAAGTCAGAGCCACGCACTGAAACACTCCTCCACTCAGGGCCCTCTCACCAGGCCAGTGCAGGGCCCTGGAGTCATAGAAAAAACAAGGTGTAACTGCTTGTGGTGGATTCTACATATGCATTATTTTTTCTTTCCCCTTTAAGGACTACTGTGAACATTATTCAGAATAAAATGAACATAAACATGTTAGAGAGGAGAATGCAGACTTGCATGGTTTGCGAATGTGTGACTATTCTTTTTTTGGTACCAGGGATCGAACGCGGGTCCTTGCACTTGCAAGGCAGGCAGCAGAACCACTGAGCTAAATCCCCGGCCCCTTCGTGTGATGATTTCCATAGCAGGTAGGTCTCTTCACAGACCTCTCTCTGATCAGTTCACTCCCACCCTCCTAAGGGTCCTTCCCTGACAATCTGACCAGTCCCACAAGTGCTGCACCAAACCCTCAAGCATCACAGGGAAACGCTGGATGACATTCCACCTCCACAGACCTTGAGGTCCCTGTGCATGAGCCCTTTGCTGTGCAGGAACTCTACGGCCTCTGCGATCTGCAAGAAGATGTGCAGACACACACCCCGCTCCCGCTCCTCCAGTGCACACCGCTGGTTCATCCAGTCTTTGAGGTTTTCCTTTCTGCACAGCTGCATCTGAATGTAAAGATACACCTTTGGTGAGCTGGGCTGGAGTTTCCCCGCAGTGTTCTTAGTGAGATCCAAACTTAAAGTGGTTGGTCTTGGAGGAGAAACAGACAAGGTGGCTTCTGAAGAAGATTTGCTGCTGGAGTACTTGAAGGCAGTGAGTTTATTAGCACAATGGTTGACAATATGCACTCGGTTAGTTTTGGGCTCTTCTTTACTGGATGCGTTATCACAGCCAGAATCTTCAAATACTATGGAAGAGGAGGTTTCCCTTGACCTCACGCAGGGAGAAGCTTCAGAAGGACAAAGTTCAAATGAGTGCCCCTCATCATTGCCATCCATAGTGCCATCTTCTACATCACAGTCTGTGAGGCAACTGTCCTGCAGGTTGTTCACTGCATCTGCTGACCCACTGCTGTCTCTGTGGTCCATTCCTGACAGTTCCAGTGGAGAGAACTGGCTTTCGGAGGAGCTTGTCTGGCCACGGGAAATCCCCACAGAAAAAGACCTGCTTCTCTGTGGCGAAGGAGCTATGATTTCAATATGTTCTTTGGTGGAGAATGGATCCATCCTGCGTATTTTCACAGATGGTGCATCCATGGGGCTAAGAGAGCTGAGCGGCCAGTCTGTGCTAAAAGTGGGAGAAACACAAAGGGATGAGAGTGAATGCATTTAAATTATCTAAGATGCACTTTTTGTTTCAGAAGCTTCCCCTATAATCAAGCCAGTTACCAAATGACAAACAACACAACACATATACACTTTTTCTAAAAAAAAAAAAATCTTGATTTGAAAGATTAATTTATACTTGAAACAGTTATCTGGGGTGATTTCGCCGGGCAACCAAGGGTTTTAGTGCAAAATACAAAGGACTGAAGAAACACCAGGGACAGGGTTCCTTGGCAGCTGTGATTCTGAAGTCCCTGTCAATGTTACAGCACTTCACAGTTTGAGACAAAGGTCATTTCCTTTGGTCTTGGAGTGGCCCATGAGCATCACTGTTGTAAGCTGCCTCGGAATCCCAGTCATGCACAGGAGCCCCTCTCGGTACTGACAGTCTCCCCATGCCTGCTTCTTCTGGGCTCTTTCCAGGCAGCTGTCCCAGGTCCTTCCCTTCTATAGCGCTAGCAGTTCATGTGGGCAAGGCCTCTGAGCTACCTAAGTTTATCTTGAACTTCACATTTCAAAACTACTTCAAAGGGAATTTTAAATTCTTAACTGCTACGAGGCAAAACTAAACAAAAAACTTAAAGATGGAGACAAATAGAAGCAGACAATATCTTATACTGAGAAGGGCTATTGTAAATCCCTCAATCCTAATCATACAGCACTACGGATTAATAATTTTTAAAAACGTCTGCTTTCAAAAACCACATTAAATGTCCTTAAAAGTGGTTAGAGAGTGTTCTAAAAACATAATGACATAGAACATAGCCCTGCAGTTCTTCTTTTAGGTATAGAAATGATATTGTGTACACAGCAGCAAAAAGCCTAACAGGAAACAGCAGTTTTTAAAGCCTATGTTTAACTAAGTCACCTTTCATCTTTCAGCCAGATTTCATCCATCTTTTCTTGCCACTTCTCTGGTGGTGCTTCCAGCCAGGCATTGAAATACCTCACAATTCCTGGGTGTTCAAGTTTGGCTAAGGCTTTAACTTCTCGCATGACCTTTTCCCGAGCCAATTCTCTGAAGCAGAGAAAGGAAGAAGACGCTGAAAGTTGTCCCAGGATAAAGAAATATTCATACCCAGTGATAACAGAAAAATATTATCCTCAGCATAATTTTTGAAAAAAAAAAAAGTACTGCAATTTAAAAAGCACACATTTATTTTAGTAATCTTTTTCTTCTAGAAATAAATGCTACAAATACATGTTTTTTTTCATTCAAATAAAGCTTTTGGGGCTGATGAAAATGAGTCACTGTAGACTTAAATGTTTGTTGGTTAACAGGAAGAGGAATAGGGATAAGAGAAATACTGAGAAAAGAGTGCTTGGTACCCTGTCTCAGGGTGACAAAGACCACCCCAACAGGGTGCATACATGTTACAACCCTGACCCGCCATGTTCACAGAAGGTGCTGCCTGCAGCCCATACGCACCAAAGGGGGACTGGGGAGCTTCCAGGAGGCCCTTGCCCTGCTAGGTCACCAGATGCCTCCCAGCCCATTAATGCCAGGATAAGACCTGCGTAGCCTTTTTCACAAACTAGCCTTGTCTGATAAAATAAATGTTTGTGCATAAAACATTGGAATTTATTCATATACTTACTTAGTTCTAAGAGCCTGCCTGGGATGCTTTAGTAGACTAAAAGCCATACATATAGTATCTAATACCAGTGTCTACATACACAAATACAAATACATACCCAATACAGATATAAACCTTCTAACATGTCACTCTGCAAGTAAGTGTATAAACACCTCCAACCACAATACCGTTAATAAATACGAAAAAGAAAAGCATCTGGATTTTACTTTCTGCTTTGACAGCCTTTCTGATAGATTTAATCTCCCATCACTTTAAACAACATAAATACATTGTATCCTCTTTCCTCCCCAGGAGAATGTCAGCCACTCTGATTTTTCCTTCTGTGCTTCATTGTTCATGTCCGGTGCCCCCCTTCCCCCTTAGTTTCTTTTCTCTCCTTGCTAAGACAAAATACCCAACCTCCAAAGTTAAAGGGAGAAAGCGTTATTCAGCTTAAATTTGTAAAGGTTTCAGTCCATAATCAGCTGGCTCCAAAGCAGTTTGGCGTGGCAGACAGGCACTGCAGGAAAAACAGTTCATGGTGGGCAGAAGATAGCAAAGCAAGCAAGGGACCCTGGCACCTTCTTTCTGTCCACTTTTTACTCTACCTTGGGCTACCGGCATTAGGGCAGTACCAAATCAATCAGTGGACTGCTTTAGTAATCAAGCACTCTTATTCCTAGCATTGCACCATGAATCCATCACATACTCTAGATCCAGCCACCTCTGAAAAAGCCCCATCTACGACCATCTAGACACAAGCCCTAACACCTTCTCTCCTAATCTACAGATCCTGACACATTTAAATTTTTTTTTTCAGCTTCTAGATCCCCACATTCAGTTATCAAATCCTACCAGCCCCTCCTGTCCAAGTCCCTATGCCCATTCCTATCTTGGGACTGAAATGTGGCAGAGCAATCCCTTCACATCCCCAATTCCTATCCTTGCCCCAGATAGTCATTTACACATGGCTAGCGTCACCTCCATCTTGATTGTGTAGTATTTGTACTCAAAAATCAAGACCACAGAATAAAATCTGAGCTCCTTGGCTTGGCATATGAAGAGCTGCAATCGACCCTTTCCATATCCTCTCTCTCCTCCCTGCTTCTAGCCTGTGGCTCACCCATTCCAGAGCACTGGCCATTCCCTCCCGGGACCAACTCCAAGCATTGGCTAAGAGCCTCTGCTCAGGCCACCCTCCCCTCCATGGCATTTTACACAAGGAAGGCCACTCTAGTACACCCAGAACCAATGTCACCAGCTCCACAGAACTGGACCTCCTGAACTGAGTGCTTCTCAGCTCCTTCATGCAATGCTGCTAACTAGGACAAGACGCAGGTCATGATCTGTCTTGCAGTGTAACTACTTGTGTCAATATACAAAAGCACTGAGAAGTACAGGCTTCGTAGAGAAGAAATGTTGCTTAATTTTAATATTCTATTTTAGCGCCTGGCAATAGAAATATTTTAACCCTTCAAAAGTCATTTACCAGGCTGGGGATTTAGCTCAGTGGTTCCAGAGCCTGCCTCGCAAGTGTAAGGACCTGAGTTCGATCTCCGGTACCACAAAAACAAAAAAAAAAAAAAAA